GGCTTGCTCAAAAGCCTCTTGTCGTAGTTGAGTAATAAGGCTATATCTATGTGCAGCCCGAGTGTCCAAGGATTCATAGTTCGTCCACGATTGAAAGTGAGGTAGTACCATGTCATTTCCTGTGAGTAGTCTATACGGTGATTCTCCAGTGGAAATATGCGGAGTTGACCTGTAGGCGTAAAGCACGGATGCAAGCACTTCCTCAAAAGACCAATTGTTGACACTTGTTCTTGACAGTGCTCCTTTGAGAAAGTGGTGAAATGACTCCACCATAGAGTTTCCTTGCGGGTACTGTGGCGTCGCGTTACTAGTTCGAATCCCTAGGGACTCCACTTTGTCGCAGAAGTCACGACCAGTAAACATGGCACCGTTGTCGGTTAGCATTTTCATTGGCACTCCTAATCTACAGATCCACATGGAATATACCAAGTTCCATGCAGTTAATGCAGTGCCATCTTCGAGCACTCCAACTTCTACCCACTTGGTTAAGTTATCAATCATGGTGATTAGGTTGTAAGTTTTCTTCTTGTACATGAAAGGTCCTATTGCATCGACCGAAACCAATAGGTTGAAATCAGTGGATAACAAGACACCTTTTCCAACCAAATTGACGATATTCATTCTTCTTTGACATGTAAGGCAACCAGCAGTGAAATCGACACAATCTTTCGCCAACAAGGGCCAGTAGAAGTGCTTCTTTATCCTGACGATCATCTTCTGTGCTCCTTGATGTGCACCGATTCTGCTGCAGTGACAGTAGTATAGTATTCGGGCTCTCAAAATTTCAGGGACAAACATGAGTCCACTCTTCGCATGAACGAGCAGATCTTCCTGTACTATGCACCCGTCTGGTACTGACGTAATTTCTTTGGCAGCATGAACAAATTCCTCAATCGATGGAAAATTGCTGTCTGCCTTCAGATTTGGTATGACACCCGTATCGACCTTCGACTTCGTCTTAATTGGAATAGATGCAACCTCTTCACCGATTAGTCGTTCTTGTTGTCTCGCAGCTCTATCTTCAATTGGACTTAACGTATTTACCATACCAAGGTGTTTGTCAACAAATTCATCAGCAGCGGTAAAGT